TAAGAGCCGTCTGCATTCAACATTTTCGGCCGTCGGGAAATTATCATAGAATTCAAATGAACAAAAACATGTGAACGTTTTCGGATGAATTTTGAATATATTCGATGGCTGAAGATGCATATTTACTAAATGAATTCTCAATGTTTGTCTTTGTTCCACCTTTTCATTCGACTCATCTCCTTCCAGAGTCATGTTTTCCTCTGCCTCCATCTCCTTATCCCCATCCCACTTCAAACCAAACTCATCACCGCCCTTCCCAGATCCATCCACACTCCATATCGAAATCACCACAATCACTATCAACAACGTCGATCTGCACATTGTTGAATCGATTCAATGGTAAAACGAAATAAACTGACGACTAAACTCACTAATTAATTGACATAAATCATTCAGCTTTATGCAAATTCACTTTAGTTGCATAATATATAAATCAAAATCCATTACGTGGCTCATTGGTATCTATTCACTGAATGTACGTATGATAATTTGATGTTTTGTACTTGTGTGCATCCCTCGACAATGTTTTCGACTGATCCTATGTTTTCTCCCGTTTGAACAACCAACGATAGGACTCACATTTCGGCCAAACTTGAGAACATCTCCCGTTTGAACATCCAGCGATATTCACAAAAATGTTTATTTTGCCGACCGATTTTGCTTTCTTGAGGAGTTATAGCTATTTTCTTAGATCAATCTCAAGGCAATGCGGGTGCCAGCTTCAAGGCTACCATTCTCAAGTTTTCCCTGTAACATATGAATTTTTTTGCATCAGTCGATCTAGCTGGATCTCGTCATTTAGAAAAATTTATATTTTGTCGAGCGATATTGTTATCCTGAGCAGACATAGCCATTTTCTGGAGATAGTCTCAATTCAATAGCGCAGTCGCGCTCATTCGTACAAATTGATCACTACAGAGCAATCAATACGTTCATATTAGCAATAGGCGGATTGCGATCTTCGAGCTAATCGTCTTCTCAGGTTTGCCCGGAAACATGCGAATGTCTTTTCACCGTTCGGTCTATCAGAACCTCTTGATTCAGAATATTAAAAATTTTGCTGAGCAATTTGCTTAGTTGACGAGATATAGGCATTTTATTAATAATATCTCCGGTGCCACCTTCAAGGCTACCGTCTTCTCAAGTTTGCCCACTAACACATGAATTGTTTTGCATCATTTGATCCAGCTGGATCTCTACATTCAGAATATA